GTTTTAATTGTCGGGTAATGCCAGCAATTCTTTTTACATTCAGCTGTCAGTGGGAAATCCTGCTGACAGCTGAAACTTTAGAGAATGTTTTCACTACTAAAATACCACATGACTTAATAATATAACTCATGCAGTATTTTAGTAGCTGCATGATATTTTACCGCATACTTAGATGCAGTGAGATATCGCTTAGTGAATAGACCCTGTTTGAAGTTCACGGTTGAACTTTCAGTAGGTTTGAATGTTCGACTGTGAACCGAACAGGGGGGTTTCGGCCCATCACTAATCATCACATGCCTGATGAAGGGGTCTTGCTAGCCTCAAAACATTGCTTTTGCTATAATGATGTGATTGCTGTTTAAAGCTTTTGGACACATTTTGGAGATCAGCGGTGTGCTGGTGACATTCTTTCACTCTGATTATCTTCAGTTGCTGCAGCACCCATTTCCATACACAGCCATTTCTGCAGGAATGTGTGCACTGAGAAAAGTATTTTTTGTGTGTGTAACTCACCCATACTTGAATCTCAATATATGTGACAAAAATCAATAAATAATTAAAAATGGTGTACACAATAAAGAATAGATATATAGTGAAAAATTAAAAAAAAAAAAAAAAAAAAAATATATATATATATATATATATATATATATATAAACAATGTTTCTGTGTGGCTTCTGCTACAAAGTTTCTGTATCTACTGTACCTTTATATTTATACTTTTATGTAATTAATTTATTTACATGTTTAGAGTGGAGATTGTTCAGTATATATCTATATACTTTGGGTTATGCAAAATGCTTAATGTATACCTGTAGAAGGTAGCACTGAAAGTTGGTGATATATTGGGAAAAGTATGCTTGAATCTTCTTTCTGCAGGAAACGCAGGCAGAGCACCCCATTCAAATGAATGGTCTGCTGTATCCACGCAAACGCAGTACTCAGATCCGCACATAGATGAACTTAGCCTTATACTGCACAGCTATACCAGTCATACACTTAATATCTGATTAAAGGGTAAGTTCACCTTTTCACAAAAAATACAAATATGAGTTAAATATCCTAGCCATCCTTCAGGTCCCCACTGAACACAGTGGCCATGATGTCCCATGCTGCCAGTGTAGCAGTCATTACAATGTTCACTGCAATGCACAGATTTGGAATGAGTATCCAATCATAATGCTTGCAATGGCAAGAGATCATTGGTCAGCGTACCACATGAGCATGCTAACTAATGAGAAACACTTCTTCCTTCTCAGACATCTCACTGGAAGAAGTCTAATGGATACTCATTCTGGGGCTGTGTATTGCAGTGTACAGTCAACGGACTGCTACAATGGCAACACTGACATAACAGCTGCTATTTGCAGTAGGATGCAAAGGGTGGCCAGGATATTTTGAGTTCACCTTTTCATTTTTTGTAAAAAGGTGAACTTACACTTTAAGTAAATAATCTTAGTTTTAATCTTAGTTTTGTTTTTTAGCTTCCTATGTCACCTTTCTACTAACACGTCTCTTCACTGGATAGCCAAACAGAATCATCACCTCTATTCAGTGGACTAAGAGCTGGCCTAGGAAGTTGTAGAGCAGACCTATAAAGCAATAGGGCTAAATTGGGTTGTAGTAGAGTAACCTTATTGGCTAACAGGAGTACAAGTTCTGATAAAAGTCTAAAATATAACGTAAAGTAGGATAGTTTCTTAGTTTTCATGCAATAACAATTATAGAGGTTTAGGTATTTAAAAAATGAGTGATATTTTTATGGTGAAACAATTAGCAGAAAGTCTTAAGGTGACAACGTTCGCAATTTTAAACTTCTGGTGGGAGCCACTTTTGTACAGAGGTTTGCAAATTCATGTTTGTACATGACCAATAAATCATATGCATAGAAGTTTCCTTAGTGACTGCTTCTGTATGCTTTTTATCTCAGATGTTCAAGCAACAATATCACTAGAAGGTCACCCACAAATAAAAAACAGTCTTGTAAAAGAAGAGGCACTATACTTAGCTTTTACTAAACCAGGGTTTAATCACTTGTCTACAGGGTACTTTTATGCCCTTCCTGCCCATGCCAATTTTCAGCTTTCAGCACTGTCGCACTTTGAATGACAATTGCACGGTCATGCAACACTGTACCCAAACAATAAAATGTTTTCGAGATAGAGCTTTCTTTTGGTGATATTTAATCACCACTGTTTTTTTTTTTTTTTTTTTTGCTAAACAAACTAAAAAAAGACTGAAAATTTTTCTTAGTTTCTGTTATAAAATGTTGTAAATAAGTAATTTTTCTCCTTCACTGATGTGCGCTAATGAGGTTACACTGATAGGCACTGATAGGTGACACTGACTGGCACTGATAGTTGGCATTGATGTGCACTGATGGACACTGGTATGTGGCATTTATGGTCACTGACAGGTGGCATTGATGGGCACTGACTGGCAGTGGTGTTTTTAGGTTTTGTGCTGCCCTAGGCAAGGCAAAAATTGGATGTTCCCCCCCCCCTTTCCTCCCATGGAGAGAGCCTGACACCAACCAAGCCCCCACCGCCCACAAAGAGACTGACACCGACCAACTGCACCCTACCACCCCCCACACACTGCGGAGATAGACTGACAATGACCAACAACACCATCCACCCCCTCCAGACCTTCCGCCTTCAACTACCTACCACCGCCCCCCCCCAAACACCCACCACCACTCTCCTCTCCCCCAGTGAGAGAGAGAAAGACACTCACCTTTACAGCTCTGGACATCCCCGAGGAACAAGAGTTGGGCTCTGTATACACTATCAAGTAGCCCACGGCCTCTCTCAGATGCCACCTAGTCTCCATATCGTGTGTGTCCCTTCATCTGTCCCTTCTTCTGGGGGGTTGCGCTGCCCCCTGAAAAATGCCGCTCTAGGCAAACACTTTGTTTGCCTCATGGTAAATACACCCTTGCTGACAGGTAGCACTGATGGGGCTACACTGATCACCAGGGAACTGAACATCAGTGCCCTGATCATCAGTATAGATGTCCCCTCTGAGGAATGCCGCTTACTGGCTCTCCTCTCCTCATGTGCTGTCAGTGTGAGGAGAGGACTGCCAATAACCGGCATTTCTTTGTTTACATGCTATCAGCTGTGATTGTACACAGCTGATCACATGACAGAGCTGACATCATCAGCTCTTTACTCTGATCAGTGATCCCAGGGACACAGCGCACTACTGATTGACATGCAGCATGCTCCCGGGGGCGTGCACATGCAGTTAGAGTGGGAGGACATCATATGACATCCTCCCAGAATGAGAGGACTGCATTTTCTTATATGGCGGACGGGAGGCGGTTAAAACACTGCCCCTTAACTGCTCTACAGTAGAGGTGAACTTTGGCTTGCTAGGGTGCTCCTCCAAACCCATGTGACTGAACCCATCAGGAAGCTGTCATTTGTAATGGGTCAATCCTTTGCAGTCAAGTCATTCCCCACCCTGAAGCCACATGTATACATTCCCCTTATATAAACATGGCTGCAAGGTTGGGATTGCTCCATGGTGCTGATCAATGAGCCATTATAGATTAGACCTTCCTGGTGGGCTATGTCATGTGGAATTGGAAGAGCACATGAAAACACACACATGCTCTTCCTTACTTTCCAGCCCATTCAGGTATTTAACCAATATCAAGGGACAGATATCTGCTTCCTCACCACACACAATGGTATCCAGCTACAGGCCAAGGGGAGAAACCTCTGCATGTGTGGTAAGGAACTAGTATTCATACACCTGGAAGTGTGGAATATCTGCAATGGCTGTGGATTAGGGAAGCAGTGGCATTTCCAGCCATGGACCCCCAGAAAGATAACTACACTGCCTCTTGTTTTGGAGGGCTCATCTTTTTTTTTTTTTCATTATTATTGTAAATGACCCTGTGGGGACAGGGTCACGTTAACCTTGGTGAAATGTCTTTGCAAAATAGATTTTGCAGAGTCATACTCATATATTTTTCAAAATTCTGAAAAAAACATATTCCCTAGATAGCTAATTAAAATGGTCAAAACAATTGGAATCAATAGTTGCTAGAAAAAAAATTGCCAATTTCAATTTTAACCTTTTACAAATAGACCTTCATATGTCACGCTGTGCAAATTATTTATGTAACAATGGACACATTTCTTCCTTTTTGTTTTATGTTTATTTGTTATTTTTTTTATTTCAAAGATTCACACTAGCTGTTAGTGATAAGTTATTCATCCTCCACCTTTGTGTATGTATGCCTTATCATCACATACAAACTTTGTATCAATTCATGTTGGAAGTTTTGATTTGGACACAGTGAATTCTTTTTTTTTAATTCAATTCACATTTTGACTGGGACTTTTAGCCCTGGGTCACACATATCTGGTTATGGATGTGTATTGAGCAGCCAGATTTGCATAACCTGAGAACTAAACTGTGTTTCTATTGAGGGTGTTTACAGACATGTAGTTCAGCTGCAGTACAGTAATTTCCGAGTTTGGAGCTATGCGATCCGATTTTGCATTCTATAGAGCTCATTTGGAACTCCATGTGAAACTGATTCCATTAAAATGAATGGTAACTGAATACGTGGTTCTGGGATTTGTCATTTTAGCAGTGTTTTGAAATTGTGGGCAGAATTGCCATGATTCTGCCCACGATTCAAAATGCCCATGTTTGAATGCAGCATTAGCAACATGTTTTCAAGCATTTTTTCAAGGTTTGTGTTAGCGTTTTTGAGCTATTTGCATGGTTTTGCAGCTTTTGCCAGGATTTTTTACAACTAAAAGGTGTGAAGTGCTTCTGAATAAAGGCCGGAGAAATGCTGCTTGAGCTGAATACGAGTGACAAAATGTTTGAAAGACGCTTGAAAAAAGCTCATGTCGTGGTTTTTCATTGAAGCTCAAATCTGTCTGAAAAGTAGCTCATGTATTTTTTTGAGCAACAGGCATTTTGCTAGAAGTGACAAGATGCTCAAATGTGAACAGGGGCGGACTGACAACTCATGGGGCCCACAGGCAATAGGGGATCATGGGGCCCCTGTGTCCTTGCCCAAACTCAAAAAAGCCTATGAAAAAGGTACCAGGGGCATCTCACGGGGCCCCCTACTGACTCCGGGTCCTCGGGCAGTGCTCGAGTTTCCAAATGGTCAGTCCGGCCCTGAATGTGAACAAGGGCTATAGAAAACAATAGGTTTTTGCTTGTTGAGTGTTTTTGAGCTTCAATACACTTGTGTGATTTTAGGCTTATTTCACTCTGGCATTAAAAGCAGACATTTGAGGTGCGTTTTTAAAGCTCCTCAAAGGCCTTTGCAAATGATACTATAGGAAGCACATGGTGCTGTTCACATTATCAAAACATGATGCATTAGCATTGCATCCCTTCAAAATTGAAGCATCATGTTGAGCCTTTCAATGCCTCCCATTTAAGTCTATGGTGATGCTCCTCAAATGCACGTTAATAACATTACAGTTTATTTAGTTTGTGGTGTGGTTTTAATGCTTCTAAAATTCTTCAAAACTGCACATAGTGCGTTTGGGGAGCTTTTCTAAAGCTTGTAAAAAGCCAATCTAATGCCCATACTAAAGTTCATTAATGCCTGTCTAACACCTGTACTAAAGCTATAGGAACATTTGGTAAGGGTCCTTTCACACCGGCGTACCATATGTCTGTTTTTCATCTGTCCACTTATGGATGAAAAATGGACACCCATGTGTTTCTATGGACTAGCGGATGTAAGTGGATGATCATCTGTTTACATCTGTTGATGTCCGCATCTGTTAACATCCGTTTTTTTGAACAGAAGAAAGCCCTATTTTTCTTCCATTAAAAAAAAACGGAACAGACATACAGTCTGTTTTTGCATCCATTTTTGTATTGGTAAATGATGAAAAACTGATGAGAAACAGATGCAAAACTGATGCGAAACTGATGTAAACTGATCCATTTTTTCTTGAAAAAATGAGACTGAACTGATGAAAGAAAAGTAACGCCCGTGTGAAAGGAGCCTAAGCCCAGGTTCACACTGATTCGGTGCGGAATTCGCAGCTGTTTCTATGTGAATTCCGCACCGTATCATAATCTCACCCCATTCATGTGAACCGCTGCGGGTGTGTATGTTAACAACACCCTGAAATTGGTTTGCAAATTGCGGTGCGATGTGCAGAATCGGATCGCATAGGTGTGAATACCCATGTGTGATCCAATTCTAGTGTGGACAAAAAAAAAGGGTCCTGCACCTTTTTGATGCAGATGCAGTGCGATTTGAGCCATACAAAATGTATGGTTCAAATTACACCGCAGAGAATTTGCATGCGGTTTGCACAGGAATGAGGTGAAGTTCCTGTGCGAATCACATGCGATGTTCCGCACTGCACAAGTGTGAACTCAGGCTAAGAGTTAGAAATTTAATCAAGTGTGAACAATACCTTAAGACCCTTTCACTCGGGGCGGACCCATCAGCAGATCCACTTACCCAGTGGGGGATCTCTCCGTTGATTCCTGCTGAGCAGATGACAGGCCCATGTCCGCTCTGCTGCTGCAGAGCAGACACAGACACAGCCCGTTGTCCTCTAGAGACAGTTGGATGGAAACGGACTGCCTGTCTGTTTCCATCCGACTGCTATCCCATCCCATCCCAACCGACAGACAGAAGGAGAATGGATCCCCATCTGTCTCTTTTTTGGTGGATTGGATCAGACTGGATGTCGATGGGTGTAAGACCCGGTCACATTGGGTGCGATTTGTATGCCAGGCGACTTGCAGATCATATGCCAAGTCGCACCCTATTGTCCACTATTAGAGCGGTCATATTCCAACTTGGTCAGAGCCCCACCAATTTCTAAAGTAGTGCATGCACTACTTTTGTTGCAATTTGCATAGACATCTGTGTCAAATGTCTTGAAAATCGCAAGGAAATCGGCAGGTCACTCGATTTTGAAATCATGCAACTTCACTGTAAGTTGCACAATTTCAAAATCGGCTTTGATGTGACCAGGGTGTAAACGAACACATGTCCGTTTACACCTGCTGCTCCATAGAGGAGAATATTATTATTATTATTATACAGTATTTATATAGTGCCAAAAGGTTTGCTCAGCGCTGTACATTATAGTGGGGGACAGTACATGAGACAGTACAGTAACAAAACAATAAACGAGGAGTTAGTGGGCCCTGCTCTTTCGAGCTTACAATCTAGGGGGAGGGGATAGTGGTACAGGAGGAAGTGGCTGTGGGGGATGGAGTGGTGGGAGGAGTGGAGGAGATCGGCTGTTAGGTGAGAGTGGGGTAGGCTTCCCTGAAGAGATGGGTTTTCAGGGTGCACCTAAAGGTGAGGAGGGTAGGTGACAGTCTGATGGATTGGGGTAGTGAGTTCCAGAGGATAGGGGAAGTCCTGGAGGAGACCAGGGAGCTAGAAAGTAGGAGGTCTTGTGAGGAGCGAAGATTACGGGTTGGGTGGTATTTGGGTATCAGGTCGGTGAGGTAGTTTGGGGCAGCGTTGTGATTGGCTTTGTATGTTAATGTTAGTAGTTTGAATTTAATGCGTTGGGCAATCGGAAGCCAGTGGAGGGAATGGCAGAGGGGGGTGGCAGAAGCGGAGCGGTTGGTAAGGTGGATGAGTCTGGCCGCTGAGTTCAGGATAGACTGAGGGGATAGCCTGTGTTGGGGTAGGCTGGTGAGGAGGGAGTTGCAGTAGTCCAGACGTGAGATAATAAGGGAGCGAATGAGTTGTTTAGTAGTGTCTGGGGTTAGGAACGTACGTATCTTGGAGATGTTGCGGAGGTGGAGCCTGCATGAGTTTGCCAGCGATTGGACATGGGGTTGGAAGGACAGGTTTGAGTCTAGAGTGACACCTAGGACTTTGGCTTGTGGGGTGGGACTGATGGTGGTGTTGTTGGTCGTGATGGAGAGGATGGGGGGAGGCACGGGCTGGGGGGAAAATTAGGAGCTCGGTTTTGGAAAGGTTCAAATAGAGGTTCCGAAACAGGCAGGCGGACGGATTGGAACATCTGTGTAAATGAGGTCTTATAGATGTATTTATTTTCATATATTTTATTTTATTCATGCAAAATACATGTGGCTTAGAAGATTTGTTTATTTTATTATTATATTATTATACAGGATTTGTATTGCCAACAGTTTGCTGAGCGCTTTACAATATATTTTTTCATGTTATATGTTAATATCGTGTTTGTTCATGTACGTTGTTTGATAGCGCAGCACTAATTGATTTGCTAACCTTGTGGACTGCTTTTATTATATATTTAAAAAAAAAAAAGTCAAAGGGGGAAAGCCACAGCTGTCTCTTGCAGGTACGGATTACACAAGGTAAAGCCAATTTAGAAATAAACACTGTGACATAAATATATGACTTGAGATCTAGTAGCAATGATAAATACCAAATCAGCAAATAGAACTAAGGGAAACAAATCACTGGGACTTGAAATAATAAATTAATCTCCATATGAAATTTATGTCATTGTAACTAAGTCACACTCACATAAAATTAATTAATCTAATGCAGAAACGTTCTCCATGCATTGTTTGGAGCCAAATCCATTTGCTACTGTCAGTAGACAGCATGTCCTTGCCTGCTTGCAGCAGTTGGATCTGTCTCCCTCAGTTAACATTGTGACAGTCCAACATTTAAACTTGCATCTGGCACTGGCGCTTTACAAGACAGTAAAACTGGTCTGCTTTGCCACGAAACAGATTATCCTTTTAATGCCGGTGGGTCATAAAACACAAGGATCGGCCCCGACATGTCATCTATATGCAAAAAAAAAAAACAAATCGATGATGCATGATCTATATGGAAAATGAGATTTCAACATAATAAAGCTACAGATGGCAACGTTGTGAAAACCTAAGATTACAAGCCCTCCTTGTTTTTCTAGGCAAGATGGAGGATGGTGGATGGCACCTCCTAAATAGGACTAGATTACAGATGGGATGGTTCCATGTCTCGATCCAGGTGGAAACAGATATCCCTTTTGCTAGCAATGGCTTCATCTCTCATTTCTGCATTCCTTGGGAAGGGAAAAACAATGTGATGTGTCGCCTCGTATCGCCATCTGTCGGTTTTTACTGTCCTCTCTCACCCTGAAATTTGGCTGTCACTGTCTGTAGGAAAAAAAAGGGGGGGGGGGGGTGGCTGGGCTTCATCCTGAACAAGTGTGTTGTCTCTGCTCCTCATCAGACAGCACAGGACAAAGGCAGCAAAAGAGCAGAGACGCACATCCCAGCGATCTCATCACCTTCCCATCCGAACAGCTCAGGGTGCTGCTGCTGCTGAGAACAGGGTGGTCCACCCACAGATAACACACATCATCCTACATGGACTAACAGTGTATAGCTGCTAGTCATAAATCATCTAGTGTAACTTTCAAGGCCAGTGAAACAATGTATCAATCCTGCTCTGATGTCTAATACACAAGTCCCTGCAGAGGCTTGTGCAATGGCTCTGTAAAGGCAATATACTGTCATACATGGATCAGATCATGCATGTCCATTCATGTAGTAGAAGTGGATTAGGGATGGGTTGACATGGGGTTGGTGCAACAACTTACCTAACTTACTGAACGTTTACATGTTGGCGACAATGACATATTGAGGTGTGTGTGCTGTTGTAGGCTACATTTGTGTGCTAGGTATATTTGTGGGCTAGACTGAAATATATATGTGTCTATTTAGGTAGATTATAATGTGTGTCTGCATTTTAGGTAGATTGATATGTATAAGTGTATAGCTGTGGGTAGATTGATTTGCATGTGTGTGATTGTGGGTTGATATGTATGCGTGTACTTGTGGGTAGACTGACATGTATGCTTATACATGTGGGTAGATTGACATGTATGTGTGTGCTTGTGGGTAGATTGACATGTATGTGTGTGCTTGTGGGTAGATTGACATGTATGTGTGTGTTTATGGGTAGATTGATATGTATGTGTGTACATGTGGGTAGATTGATATATATGCATGTAAATGTAGGTAGATTGACATGTATGCATGTGCTTGTGGGTAGATTGACATGTATGCATGTTAATCTGAGTAGATTGACATGTATGCATGTGCTTGTGGGTAGATTGATATGTATGCGTGTACTTGTGGATAGACTGACATATATGCGTGTACTTGTGGATAGACTGACATGTATGCATGTACTC